ATTTTGAGTTAATTTTTATGTATGGTGTAAGAAAGTGGTCCAGTTACATTCTTTTTGTATGTATCTGTCCAGTTTTCCCAGTACCATTTATTGAAGAGATCATCTTTTCCCCAGTATATTCCCCAATATATTTCCTAATATATTCTTGTCTCCTTTGTCATTAATTGACCATATAAGTGTGGGTTTATTTCTGGACTCTATTCTTTTCCATTGATCTGTGTGTCTGTTTTTTATGCCAGTACCATACTGTTTTGATTTCTAAAGCTTTGTAGTATACCTTAAAGTCTGGGATTGTGACACCTCCAGCTTTGTTCTTCTTTCTCAAGATTGCTTTGGCTGTTCAGGGTCTTTGTGGTTCCATAGAAATTTTAGGATTCTTTATTCTAGTTGTGTGAAAAAGGCTATTGATATTTTGGTAAGTATTACATTGAATCTGTAGATTGCTTTGGGTAGTATGAACATTTTAATAATATTCTTCCGATTCATGAGCAGGATATAGCTTTGCATTTGTATGTGTCATCTTCAATTTCTTTCACCAGTGTTTTATAGTTTTCAGTGTACAGGTCTTTCACTCCCTTGGTTAAGTTTATTTCTAGTTATTTTATTCTTTTTGGTACAATTATAAATGCAACTGTTTTCTTAATTCTCTTTCTGCTATATTATTAATGTATAGAAATGCAACAGATTTCTATATGACTTTTGTATCCTGTGACTTTACTGAAATCATTTATTCTAATAGTTTTTTGGTGAAATCTTTAGTGTTTTCTACGTATACCACAGCATCTGTAGATAGTGACAGTTTTACTTCTTCCTTGCCAATTTTGAGGCGTTTTATTTTTTTTTCTTATCTGATTGTTGTGGCTAGGACTTCCAGTATTATGTTGAATAAAAGTAGCAAGAGTGGACATCCTTGTTGTGTTCCTGATTGTAGATGAAAAGCTCTGTTTTTCATCATTATGATGTCAGGTGTGAGTTTGTGATATATGGCATTTATTATGTTCAGGTATGCTCCCACTAAACCCACTTTTTTGAGAGCTTTTATCATGAGTGGATGTTGAGTTTTGTCAAGTGCTTTTTCTGCATTTTATTGAGACAATCATTTCATTTTTATTATTGTGTTGATGTGGTGTATCAGGCTGATTGATCTGTGCATATTAAACCATCCTTGCTTCTCTAGCATAAATCTAATTTGATTGTGGTGAGTGATCTTTTTAATGCATGGTTAAATGCAGTTTATTAACATTGAGGATTTTTGCATCTATGGTCATCAGCCTGTAGTTTTTTGTTGTGTCTTTGGTTTTGGTATCAGGGAAATGCTGACTTGTAGAATGAGTTTGGAAGTTTTCCTTCCTCTTCTATTTTTTTGGAATATATATTAACACTTCTTTAAATTTTTGGTAGAATTCATCTGTTCCTGGCCTTTTGTTTATTGGGACTTTTTGATTGCCAATCCAATTTCATTACTGTTCACATTATCTATTTCCTCCTGGCTCAATTTTGGAAGATTATATATATCTAGGAATTTATCCATTTCTTCTGTATTGTCCAATTTGTTGGCATATAATATTTTTGTAGTAGTCTCATAATCATTTGTATTTCTGTGGTGGTGTTACTTCTCTTTCATTTTTTTATCTTATTTGGATCCTCTCCTTTTTTTCTGGATGAGACTGTCTAAAGGTTTATCAATTTTATCTTTTCAAAGAACAGCTCTTAATTTCATTGATCATTTATTTTTTTGGTCTCTATTTTATTTCTGCTCTGATCTTTATTTCCTTCCTTTAAAAAAAAAAGTTCTTTTGATTGGGGGGGAGCGGAGCAGCAGGATCCCCACTGAGCAGCGAGCCCGATCCCAGGACTCCGGGATAATGACCTGAGCAGAAGGTCATGATCTTAACCAACTGAGCCACCCAGGCACCCTTATTTCCTTCCTTCTACTAACTTTGGGCTTTATTCTTCTTTTCAAGTTCCTGTAGGTATAAGATTAGATTATTTATATGAGATTGCTCTTGTTCCTCAAGGTAGTCCTGCATTGCTATAAATTTCCTCTTAGAATTGCTTTTGCTGTGTCCCAGTGACTTTGGACTGTTTTCATTTTTCTCCTTCATATTTAATAAATTTGTCAACATGTTGGTTGTTAGAACCATGCTGTTTAGCCTCCACATGTTTATGTTTTTTCTATTTTTTCTTGTAATTGATTTCTAGTGTCAAACCATTGTTGTTGGAAAAGATGCAGGACAGGATTTCAGTGTTCTTGAGTTTATTGATACTTGGTTTGGGGAATAATATATGATCTATCCTGGAGAATGTTTGATGTACACTTGAGAACAACGTGTATTGTTTTTAGATGGAAGGTTCTGTACATATCTGTTAAACAGGTGTGATGTGTCATTCAAAGACAGATGATCTATCCATTGATGTAAGTAGAGTGTTTAAACCCCCTATGGTTGTCTGTTAATATCTGTCTTATGTATTGAGATGTTTCAATGTTGGGTGCATAGATGTTTGTAATTGTTATATTCCCTTGGTTGGATTGACTCTTTATTGTTATGGAATGCCCTCTTTGTCTCTTGTTTTAGTCTATTTTGTCTGATATAAATATTGCTACCCTGGGTTTTTGGTGTTCCATTTGCATGGAATATCTTTTTCCATCTCTTCATTTACATTTAGTGTGTGTCTTTAGATCTGCAGTCAGTATTTCTAGGCAGCATATAGGTAGGTACTTTTTTTTTTATGTATTCCATCACCTTATATATTTTGATTGGAGAATTAAATCATTTACATTTAAAGTAATTATTGATAGTCATGTACTGATTGCCGTTTTGTTCGTTGTTTTTTGGCTGTTTTTGGAGTTCTCTATTTCTTTGTAATTGATGATTTTCTCTAGTGTTATGTTTGACTTTATTATAAGTTTTTAATTACCATGACGTTCATATAAAACATCCTAAATATATAGAAGCCCATATTAAGTTGATGGTCACTAAAGTTTAAAAACAAAGTTTTTTAAGAATGTGTCTACTCACCCATGCACATTTTACATGTTTTTGTGAGTCCCCTTAACTCATTTTAAGATATAATTGATTTTACTACTTTTGTCTTTTAGAGTGTTTGACTACTGACTTTAGTGTATGCTTTTACTTCATAAGTTTTCTTCTAATTATGCCCTTTTCTTTAAATGGGTTTCATTTTGATTACTGTCATCAATTGCTAGTGATAGATTGGGCTATGCTTTGAGAATTCTGAGACTACGTCTAAGACAAAGGACTATTATTGACTGGCCTTGCCTACTACATGTACCAATGAAGAAAGAAATGGCAGCAAGTGTGATACACAACAGCCATTCTTGCTTTATTGGTTTTGGAAGAGGCTTGGAGCATTGACAAGTAGGGCCAGTCTTGAGGTTTCCCATTGTATTGTTTTGTATCTCCTGGCCTTTCCAGGCCACAGCTCACATACTGTCCTTGCCTGAGGATTTGTCTTTTAGTCATCCCAGATTTTTTCAGAAGAAGCTCTATTCTCAAAGCCTGCCCTTTGCTAACTTATTTGCCTGATAAATGTGAGCACAGTCAAACGGGACTTTAAAGTACCCCTAAAGAATGTACAGATCCAACAGTGAGAGTTTTGCTGGATTTAGATGATGAGATAGGCCAATCTTAAGTAGAGATGGCAAGTGCTAGGTCCAATGGACTAAATAGCCTATTCTGTAGGAAAAGAGATTTAAAACTTTAGAAATTTTGAGGGAGATGAAGCACCAGGCTAAAGGTTGATCTTCACTAGGCCAAAAGGGGCTTTTTTTGGTATTCAATATAATTAACAGTGTTTTTAGTTTCAGGTGTACAGTATAATGAATTAACAATTCTATATATTACTAAGTACTCCCCACAATAAGTGTACCTCTCAGTCCCCTTCATCTATTTCACTCATCCTTCCACTCAGTGCCCCTCTGGCACTCACCAGTTTGTTCTCTAAGAGTCTATTTTTTTTGTTTGCCTTTTTTCTTTGATCACTTGTTTTTTAAATTCCACTTATGAGTAAAATCATGTGGTATTTGTCTAATTTCACTTAGAATCTTTTTGAATTAGTATTCTTGTTTTATTTGGGTTAAGACCCAATAGTGGAATTACTGTATCATAGGGTAGTTCTATTTTTTCACAGTGGATGAGGGTTACTTTTTCTCTACCAATAATTATTTCTTGTGTTTTTGATTTTAGGTGAATGAATTTAAAAAGTTACACTTTCAAGGTAGCTTAATTTGTGTTTTAGTAAGAAATACTTAGGAATAAGATATTAGCCAGAATTTTAGGCCCTATAAGTACTTGGTTAAATATTTTATACTATTTATACTATTTATTTTACTGCCTCAAATCAGAGGTTTAAACCTCACTTTCATAGTAAGAGATAGATAGAGGGAAGACAATCTAGTCTATGACCATTTTTATTTTCTACTGTCAGTCTTTCTCCAACCCCACTTAAGCCCCAAATGTTCATAGATATTATGGGTGTCATGCATCTATGTAAAACCCATGCTTTCTTATAGTGAATCATGATCTCAAATTTCTTCCTTCCAAAGAATTCAGTAGCGTTAGAAAAGATACTAATATTTTGATGCTTTTCTTTTGCCCCTGCTCTCTCAAAATCACATAGCCAATGATTAGTCCAAACAGGTTTGGAATTGTAGAGTGCGAGCTTTCATTCACTGTAGGAGAGGAAAAAATAGGAAGGGGGGCAGGAGGTAGAGCATAATATGTAATAATGTACTGGAAAAGGGGTCTAAGATCCTTAGGAGAGGCAAAAAGCCCTCCTGGGAAAGGAGCCACTTCACCACAAATCAGGTAGCAACAGAGGCTTCAAACAGCTCTTTCTACCTACCTGATAAGGAGAGGGTCAGGAGCTGGATAAGAGTTTCATATGAATAATGCCATATAACACAATTCCTAGTGATTGAGTGTGAAGAGAAGTGAAAGAAAATAATAATCCAGGGCCTTCTGATTATGCTCATTTACCAGGCACAGTTCTCCAGCATCCAAACTTCGTGGTCCTTAACTCTTGTCTACTCCTTTCTTAATGGTTGCATGTTGCATGCTGGAGCCTAGAAGATATTTTATGAGGTGTTAAGTAGCTTTCATTATGTATCAGCAGATCCCACATCCATACAAAGTTAGGCACTTCTGATAGTATGGTGGCTCATCCATTTTATGAAGATAATGTTCTTGGAGTCTTGGACAAAGGCTTGTCTGAGATTTGTCTCCCAGTAATAATGATAGTGCTTAAGGAAATCGATCAAAGGTAGTGATCTTCTGCTAGCTGGCTCTCCTATAGGGAAAGTAAAAAGGAGCTTTAGCCCTTTGAAGAGTTACTATATGGTATGAACCTTGGATGGTGAAGACATGGTCATTATTACAGATGAAAAGATCAGCAATCAATGCATGGTATATTTATGTGATGTAAAGATTCTCTTTTTACCCAGAAATATCTCCCAGTCATGGTGGGTGCCTACAAATCCATTGGTACTACTCTTGCCATGGTTCTGTTATGTGAGAACAATCCAGAGAAGGCCTCTGGGTCAGGAAATCTTGCAGTATTAAAAAAGGAAGGTTATGGGAAGAAAGAAATATAGAAAAAGGAGCTAGGGAGTTCTAGATGAACAGACATATCTGTTCCTAACTTTCCAAGGGCCAACACCTCTTGATATTCCCACTTCTTCTTGGGATTCCACAGTTAGCAAGAATGCCTTGTTTTGGGTTGAGCAAAAACTGTTCTGCCTTTAATAGTGAGAAAAAATGGCACTAAGCCATATTTAGGAAATTTGACTGTAATTAAGCCTTCATGGGAGTCCCCAAGGTTTACTTACCTATAATTGAAAAAATGCAAATGAAGACAGTTAATCAGTGGACTGGCTGACTATGAAGTGCTACTACTTACCTAAATGAATTAAAAACAAAGACACAAATTTGTCCAGTTGGAAAAGCTACCTGAGATCCAATTGGTAAATTTCTCAGCCGTGCTGTAGAGATTTTTTTCTTAGATAGCAGTGCTTTTCTGGTAAGGCCTTTGCCAACTTAATCTTGAGCCATCACATACAGATTTCCTAACAACTGGCCTTCAGCATTGGTAGAGCACCAGCTGCCTTCCTAGCATCATTCAAGGTAGCCCTGCAGAAAAATATAACAGACCTCTTATCCTCCTCTATGTTGTGATTGATCCACTACTTAAAGTTATAAGCCAACTCTTCAGGAGTTATCCTACAGTACTTCAGTTGTCATTTATGAAGGATTGTTACATGTTCTAATGTTACCAGATTTAATACAGTTTTCTTTTTTGTAACAATAATTGCAGCATACCTGTGATGGTCATTTCACTTCAGACACCCTCCTTAATATATTCAGCTAATTTTTATCACCTGATTTAAAATAATCCCCCCAATACTTTGAACTTCCTTTAATACATATGTCTTCTGTTTAATGATTTCATTAATTAACTCCTATTATGGCATCAGCTATAGGAACAAGAGTCAATACAGCATCATACTTGTCAGCAATCTGATTGGTAGAAACAAAAACATAAGTATTAAACAAGTCAATTTAAATATAGAAGTAGAGGTATAGTAGACGAATCTGTCAAAAGGTGACCTCTTGGAGAAAGGAGGTAAAGATGTTTCTGTTTCCATACCCCTCAGCAGCTTTTGAGGGAGCAAAGTGCCCTGAGTAATAATGCCAGCCCTGGCCACCGTAAAGATCAGTGGCAAATTTCTGCCCTATTATCCAGAAGGAATACTCACTCACTACATTGTTGTTTGACGAAGAATGAGTGGACAAGGACACAAATGAGGGCTTACTGCAAAGGAATTCTTATTTGCAAATGTGTAAACATCCACAAAGTAGGGAAAGATTCAGTTAGGCTGAACCTTTTCACCATGTCTTTGCTTGCTTGAGTTATTTATTGCCCTGGACTTGCTAGAGCTTTTAAAAAGTGCTATTGACATAGACTATGGAAGAAGTAGGCAGGTATTTCAAATGTATCACAGTTTCTAAGGAGATCAAATATCTTTTCAAAGCCTCATGGATTTTTAAAACATGAAATGTTCTTCTTGGTGGATAATAGGCTCCAATGCGCTCGGTTTCTAACCTCCCATTCATTAACAGCAAAGCTGGCTTGTAGCAAGGTTTTTTGTTTTGTTTTTCCTCCTGCAAGCAATTTGTGACTCCTTTTGGGGAGGTAACTGTTTAAATAAATGACCAGCTCCAGTGGAACGATTCCAGTTTTCTCAAGGTGTTTACTTTCAGCTTATTATCAGTTCTCCTATTACAACTTCCTCCCTGCAAAGCCCTAACCCAGACCTGAATATGTATAAAATAGTCCCATTAAAATACGTCTTAGACATGAAATACTAAGTTATTCCCACTGAAAGATCTTGCAAGAGGCTAAAATGGACTCTACCCATATTTGCAGAACCCTTTTAGTATTCTCAAAATCATTAGCACTATCAGCTCTGACTTGAGAAAATTAAATTAGCCTAGGCCCAAATGGGACTGGGTTCCATCCCCCAGGCATTTCTAAGTCTTCTGAGGTAACTAAGTAAAACTGTTTTTATACATCAAAATTACCTTGAAATGAATTTGGTTTATTTTATTCTATTTAGTTTAGCTAATAGTCCCAAGGACAGGTAGCTTTGTACTGGGGATTTCCTTGAACTACCATTTATGGTTTATTATTTTTCAGTAAAAATCAGCTTTTTTGAGTAGATTTGTTTCCAGGTTATATTTCTAACTCTCTATGCAATCTTAAAGTGGATCAATGTAGAACACACAGTGAAACCCTAATTTTCTTCTATAATTATATACCTGGGCTCTCACAAATTAACATCCTAAGACACTTACCATGTCCCAGATATTTAACCCAGTGTGTTTCTCTTTTACATTACTTTGCACTTTTGACAATGCTGTGTGTGTATTTAAAGGCAGTTGTTAAGTCTAAACTGCATTTGTTTTATTGCTGGGTAGTCCCAGGAAGTTCACCGTTATTTTCAAGGGTGAAAGATTGCTAATTACTTAACAGAAAGTAGCCTTGGTTGTCACGGGAATAGTTAAGATATTTCTTGATGATGTTATGCTTTAGATTATTAAAATATTGATTTTGATCCTGAAAGTATAATGCTGAGAAAAAATTTTGGATCTATTGAACTTTTTTGACCAGAGAAAATATGCATTCAGCACTTTATTCTCTTTGTGAAAACACTAAATAAGGAATCTGAAGGGAAGAAGAAATCAGAAATTGACATAGATACCTGTAGTATGCAGGATGCTGTTCATGAAATAACTGGGAAAAGCAATATAAGCAAAACATGTGGTTTCTTAAAACTGGCCCCCCAAGTTTCATCGCCATCATTTCAACTGCCCCTTTGATAACTTTACTGACATGTAACACAGATACCTCAAATTCAGAATGTCCAGAGTTAAACTTAATATTGTAACACCTCCGTTTTCCCCTTATTGCCATGATCTGGCTTAAGAGCATCAATTTATACCCAGCTATACTAGCTAGGAATTCCAGATTTGTCCTTTTTTATCACTCAACCATCTAGTCACCAATAACCACCTATTTCATCCATTACAGTGAGTTTTGACTATCACTCCCACCATCATGCTTTATTTTCCTATGCTATCCCTTACCTGACTCAAGGTAGGTCCTGTATTGTTTCTTTAGTACCTTACATCCTACTAAACAACTTACCAGCATTAGATCTTGTGATTTGTGTGACTGTGTATACCCAACACAACCATGTGGTTGGCACAAAGTAGATATATAGTAAGTATCTGAAGAAATACCTGGATGAATCATTGTAGGTAGAAGGATGGAGGGATAGACCAAAAGAGTATACAAGAATTGAAGCATTTCCAGAAATGTAGGTGCACTTTCATTTGAGAATTTGATTGAGTCATGCAGTTATATTTGTGTCAAAGTCTGTTTCTATTGAAACTGAACACCTCTTTCAAAGTAAGCCCTATGTTCATGAAATAGTGTAAAACTTATGACATGGGGTTTCAGAATTCTTCAGGTGATCCTGTAAATTTTAAGCACTTTTCATGACAGTCTTTATCTTTGACATTAAGGAATTAGCACAAATATCAATTAATGGAAGAATCACAATTCAGGAATGTCTACCTTCTAATATTTCTCTGCATTCAAAACACAAAATGAGGATGGTGTAGGGAAACAGAAATCTGTCTATTAGGATTCGAGTGAGGTTAAGAAGAAAAGACCAGTACAGAGGCAGAAAAAGAGCTAGAAAAACCCTATAGAAATGACTATGAAACAGCTCTCCCACCCTTATTTGCTTTTCATGGGTTGTAACAGAAAAAGATGTGAGGAAACATCTGCTACCTTTTTAAAATAGTACTTTGATATTTAAAAAAAATAGTGACAGAATTAGGAGAAGCCTGATTTCTATGGTTAGGGAAAGCAGACACCTATGAAATGAAATAGGGAGAATTAATTAGTCTAGCATAACTTGATAGATTGGTGGATTGTGGCTTCATCTGCCATGAATGGCTCTGGAAAACAGCATCAAGTAATGGTTAGTCCGTGGGCTCTGGAGTTAGTTAGGCTGGCTGGTTTAAGTCTTGGCTTCACCACCTACCTGTGATGTGATATTTAGCAAACTGCATGGTCCTTCTTTGTCCCAAGTGGGCATAATAGTATTATTACCCGTCTCAGGCATGGTTGTGAGATTGAATGAAAGAAAGGAAACTTGGGGAGTTAATGCAGAGACTGGCACATGGTAGCATTTGCTAAATGTAGCCTCTTTTTTTTAATTAACTGAAAATTGGGGCACTTCTCTTAGACTAGTCCAATAGGAATAAAAAGGCTCTAAAGAAGGAAAAGATATAAATCTCTTTCTACTCCCAGTTTAATCAGTACATATACAGGCTAGCTGGAGGAATGGCAGAAATACAGCACATTAAGGCTGTTATAAAGCTAGGAACACCAGCCCTGATAAAAGCTTAGAGCACTAAAGTAGCTGAGCCCCACCAAAGGCAACCAGTCTTTATAGCTGTGTAGTGAATGTGCTTCAGAGAAGCTGAACAAGTACAAGAGAAATCTGCAGGGATTCCAGTCAATGCTGCCATGAGGGTGAATCCAAGCCAGGAAGGACAGAGAAGGGCTGTGCACTGGGCAGGAACACACCTGAGGCCAGGAGATCTAGTTACAAAGAATTCAGGCTCCAAGGATGACACTAAGAGTCAGAGGTGAGATGGTGGCTCTCACCAAACTCAGTCATGATGCATATAGAATGGTACCAAGTTTAAGGACAGGCATGTCCTTAACAGTGATATAGGTTCATTCTGAATGATAGGTAGTCACTGAAAAACAAGACCCCAGAGATTAAAGAGTGGTTCAGATGGTAGTCTTTGGAGAAAAACAGTACAGGTCCTAATCCCTACTTTTGCCGATTACTTCAGAGGGAAGTTCTATTAGCTAAGTTCAAGGATTTTTGGAACTTAAACCATGCAGTTTAATTAAAAGGACAAAGGCAATGTCTAAGCACCTCCTAAGTGCTCAACTAATATGGGTTATTAGGACTGCATTTGTACATACTCATTTACATATCTTGTCTGAAAATGCCATAGTTACAGTATAAATTGCAAAACAGAATACAATTATGTTAAATAGGTTTTCCTAAACCTTGTATTAAAAGATCTTCTTGCCATGTAGCCTTAGTATTTTTAGTGTATTTTCTTTAGGAGTGAATTTTTAACAAAACATGCCAAGTCTCTGTGCTATTTTGGACAAGCATAAAGGAGAGCCATTTTTAAATATAAGAAATTCTGATTGTGGCAACAATGATCTAAATGATTAAAATGGATATAGAGGAATGGCAAAAGTCAAATTTCTTTTAACTTTAGATTGGGCATACTGTCTAGCAATATACTTGTTCAGGTTTAGTTCACCAAGTTCCTCACCTACTAGCTTTATACCTTACCACAAATTCATATCTCCCTTACCAGGTGCCTTGAATGAAATCATCGGCTTTATATTTCAGAGCTGTCTCACTCTCAACCAATGTATTAGGTTTATTCACAGGATTCCTGCATCAGGCTGGGAGAGCAAAGGGGTTCTGAAGAAGAGACAGGCTATCATATTTTTGCTGAATTAGACACCATCTATCTGAAGATGGAATCTGTGGTAAAAGTTTCCAAATTACTTGTAATTCTTCTCTTTGGATCCATTCAATTCTCCGAAGATTTGCTTTCAGAGAACCATTTAATAATGCAATAGATGCATCTTGTCTTATTCTACTTCTACTAATTCTATTGCCCAGAAGCAAATCCACAGAACTGTCCCTGATGCCATTCTCTCCTCTCTTTACCCATGATACACAACAGAATTAACTCACTTTATGAATGAATACTGCTCATTTTTGAAACCTGACAGACTTACAGGGAATTGTCGATTGGCCAAGGGCTATGGTATCTAGCTACTAAAGAAACCATGACTGACCCAATTGTCCCAACATTTGCTATCTATCTCCTCTGTTATTTACACTTCTACCTGGGTGTATAACAGGAAAGATGTGAAATTCAGCCAGATAACTTGCCCTGATGTTACCAAACTCATGTATGATCAAAGTTCTAAAATCATTAGATGAAATAAACCTTGAGATAGTCCTTGGGTTTCATTAATCCAGTGATTCTCAATCTCTAGCATGCATCAGCATCCCCTGGATTACAAATTTTTGATTCAGAAAGTTTGAGAGTGGCCTCAGAAATTGCATTTCTAACAGATTCCCAGGTGATACTGATACTGCTGGTTCACAGACCATGAGAATCACTGTACTAATCCATGCTTGGCTTTTCTTCTATTAACATGAATAATCTAGAATTTGCTTTTACTTAGCTAGCTTTCAAAATTTATGCTCTATAAATAAACATTATGGGTTAAGCAGTTATTTTGGTATATGTGCACCTTGTACAGTGTAATAGAAGTGGTAAAATAGTTACTCTATAGGGCGCCTGGGTGGCTCAGTCGGTTAAGCGACTGCCTTCAGCTCAGGGCATGATCCTGGAGTCCCAGGATCGAGTCCCATGTCGGGCTCCCCGCTCGGCGGGGAGTCTGCTTCTCCCTCTGACCCTCCCCCCTCTCACGCTCTCTCTCACTCTCTCTCTCCAATAAATAAAATCTTTAAAAAAAAAAAGTTACTCTATACATTTGGTTGATTTAATTCACAAAGCAGTTAATTATTTGCTGAATCATGGCTCTAATCCACAAATCTCTTTGCTTCTATGTTATTGTGGGGGCAATCTAATACTGGCCTTCAATCTATTTTTTAAATAGTGAGGCCTCAATTCTATGGTATTACAAGGAATTCATACATAGAAAGCATCATCCATTGTTTTCCCCAATGATCTGACTTTATGAGCTTTTCTGGTGGTGGGAGAACTGAGAGCTCATTTGTCATAATTTTTTAAATTTGGCATCACATTTATTTAGCTCTATGAAGTATATAGAACAGAGAACAGCCTGAGCAACAGCATCACAGAGATCTTAGATGTAACTTCTGATGTGCCCAGTCACTGCTTGGAACATGCTTTGGTCACAAAACATGGCAAGGAGTTAAAGTAAGGGCAAGTCACATAACATAGGGGTGTCACAGTGTTTGGGGTCCCTTAGCTTAAAAAACTTTGCTAATCACCTTGCACCCAGAGGGTGTATATCTAACTCCCATTCATTAATGCAGCTAAAGCACATCAATCTCAACAATGAGAAATATTCTTGGATTCCTCACTTAATTGCAATGTATATATTTCCTTAACTATTATAAGAAATTATACTGAAGCACCCAAGAGGCTAGAGTAATATTTGCAGTCAGCTGTTAATTCTTTCCTTTTACTAGGTCACTTGTAGAATCCTGGCTGAAAGGGAGTCTGGGAAATGCAGTTTTGAACTTTTCCAGCATTTGTAGTCCAGGAAGTGAAGCAGGTTGAAACAGATATTGAATGGTTTCATATACAATATATACCACACTGTCAAACTGGTTAAAAGCAGAAAAGACCCTGGCTTTAAGAGTCTAAGGATGAGCTTCTAAACCTACTCTAAGTTGTGACTGTTACAGTATTTTAGCTGTCCTACCCAACAGTGTGGCAGTATGATACAGTCTTTAAGGACTTCATCACTTAAGCTGTATAAAGTACCAATTCTCTCATCATAAACTGCAGTGACAATAATAACTACCTCCTAGGGTGTTTGTGAGTTAAATGAGGAAACACAAAGTTCTTAAAATAGTGTTTGCCACATAGTAAGAAATCAATATTTCATTAACATGTGGATATGGGGGTCTCGCTGAATACTCTCTGACCTATGAGAGCCTGACATAATTATTATTTTTGTAAGAGGTATATTCAAGACCTGAGAATAGTTAAATAGATATTCAAGTTCAATGAACACCTCAATAAAAGGCAGTGCACCATGGGTGTGTTTCTCTGCTTAGCTGCCTGCATTCCTATCATACCTGAGCTCAGGATGGAGAAATAGTCTGTATTTCCAGGGGTAGAGCTGTAAAATTGAGATATAACTCTGTATACCTCTTTATTGTACAGTGCCTGCCAAATGCCTTTTAAGCATTTGAGTTATTTTCACCCTTACCAAACAGCCTAATGTAATAACATGAGATGTTCCACTTTGGAAAACTTGTGTTACACTGGAATTCTTACATGCTAAAAAAAGCTTGGTCTTTAGAGGTACTGGAGTTTTAGAAAGCTATGCCTTATAGAGTATCCTCTTTTTTTATTTTTACCTTGGGATTGAGGATAGAAGAGAGTGACTGCTATGTAACTTGTTCACTTTATCATGTAATAATTTGCTCTTTTTTGGTCAATATTGTATACTTGCACAAGAACAACACTGTTTGAACTGTGAAGTTACACCACCATCTTGTGAATGCTGTCCTGCAACTAACCCAGGTATATCTCTCTCCTCCTCCTGCTCCAGCTGGACAGTGCCACATCACTCATCCAGGCAGCTAAAAACCTGATGAATGCTGTTGTCCTTACGGTGAAAGCATCCTATGTGGCCTCAACCAAATACCAGAAGGTCTATGGGACAGCAGCTGTCAACTCACCGGTTGTGTCTTGGAAGATGAAGGCTCCAGAGAAGAAGCCCCTTGTGAAGAGAGAAAAGCCTGAAGAATTCCAGACACGAGTCAGACGAGGTTCCCAGAAGAAACACATTTCGCCTGTACAGGCTTTAAGTGAATTCAAAGCAATGGATTCATTCTAGGACGATAGGCTTTAACAAGAAAGCTTTTTTTTTCCTTTTCCTTTTCTTTTTAATTCCATTTTTGTATGCATACCTGCCGACTCGTATGCCTCTGGCATGGGGAAATTAAGGGAGCAGTGTCTGTTTGCATGTGAGATGAGATGTGATCAATACTACTGATTCATCAGTAGCTGGGGAGGGAACAGGGAATTCCTGTCCTGAGGTGGCACAGAACTGTCCTTTGCAACATTCTCATAAAATTGGGCAAAGAGTTCGCATCGCAATGTTTACGGGAGCGGGAGGGATGGGGAAAATAAACTTAATTCTACAAAAGCAAACTCTAATGCATGCAAGAATCATTAGGTTGGCAGGTATCTTAATAAGTGAAAAATCTGGAAGTGTAATGGTAGAACATAAAGCTTGTATTGCTTCTGTTTCAGTGCAAAAGTGTACTAGCCAATACGCTGAAGTGTGTGGCCCACAAATTGAACAATATAACTTTGAAGTCATATCCATAATATTAAGTGGATTTTTTACTAAGGAAAAACTAACTCATCCAACCAAAATGTTTCTTTTAATCTGTATTCTATTCTTTCTCTTGTAGTAGTGCCATTACTAGTGCTCATATTTTCAATTTTTCCCCCTTTACTGAAAATAAACACTTATTTGAGACAATTATAATCCTTCTGGGGGCACTGGAAGCACAATATGGTGATCCACATTTTACTTTAAAAAAATTTGAACTATGATTTTGCTAGAAATAGGAGACCCAGTGATGGAATGATAGAAGAATGGAAACTGACAATGTGTGAAGGTTTAGAGGCAAATACATAGGTGTAGCTCAGAGTGCTGGTATCTAAATATGCCATTGTATCCACTAACTCAAAATAAACACATATAATCTGGAAATTTGACAAATGCTTCTTTTTTAAAAAATGCATACTTAATGAAAGATAAGAGCATCTTCTTGAAAATTGGTTAAAAAATGCTTTTTGTTTTTAGAGATTGGGGATAAAATTGGTGATATCTCTGGGTCGTCTTTGGAGCCCAGAAATTGCTTTTGATTTATTTCATATTTTTCCATTTGTTTTTATTCACTTTCAAACAATCTAAAATGATAAAGTCATGTATTAGTCTTACCTGGGCCATGTTCAGCCCTGGCTAGACTTAAGAGAATGTGTTCTCAGAAACTGAATAAAAAAAAAATTCTAGGGAGACTCATTAATTTCAAAATATTTTCTCTCCAAATGGTGAAAAGAAGGCCTCTGTCCCATTACTCAGGAGAAGTGGGCTGTGGTCTTTCAGCTATGGCTTGAAGAGAAAAAGTGCCCAAATGTTCATCTGAGTGCCCAAAACTCCTATCATTTGACTTAGCCCTACAGGTTAGCATGTTACAGTATGTCCCCAGAAGATTTCTGATAAAATAAGATGTGTTTCTTAGCAATATGATAATGCATTGGGAGTCACAGACCCCCCCAGGCTATATTAGTTTAGGTGAAAGGTCCCAAAGAGAAGAGACCTTGGAGTTGGGGAAAGAGAGAAGCTTGGTCAACACTGTATTTAGATATGGTTCTACTCCTCATCTGGACTCAGAATGATCTATCAATCAAGGACTCACCATCAATGTTGTAGACGAATTTTCAACACTATTATACAACTATTTCAATTAGACTGCCCCTTTAATTTGCATATACATTGAGAGAGGCATTCACTGACACTCATTCTTCCAGATATTTATGGAATGACTTCTTGGAGCCAGGTCCTAAGCTGAACATAACACCCAGTGAACTTATTGGCAACCTTCCTTATTAAGATGAGTATGGCATAATTCTCTGGGTTTGTGCATTATTCTATGATTTAATGGGTTGAAGGAATTAAGTATTATTCAGACCAGCCAAGAAACTTAAAAACTCCTTGAGAAATCCTAAAACATATTCAGCAGGCATAGAGGAGCATGTAGAGAATGCCTTTGACTTTGCTCTATAAATTCTAAATGTTTTAGTACATGCTTATGAACAATGTTTATGTGTGTGTTTTCCGGAACTCAGTCCTTGCTTTTTATTACTATCCACTATTGCTGTGATCAAAGAGAATAACTACTCAGAAAGATAATTAAATATAGACTCTCTGCTGAGAGCACTACAGCAATGAAAAGGCTTATTGTTTCCTGTCCTTAAGAAAATAAGTCTAGTTGAAATGATATGGACAGAAAAGAGAAGTAAATATGCCAAGAAAGCACAATGTGCCAAATGAATGGGATAAAGTGATAACTACTCTGTAAGACTAAAGAAGTCAGAACACATTAAGGGCTGAATTATTTGGGGGAGGATTAATAGAAGAGGTAGGATTGGGAAATGAGTAAACAAACAGTAAATATATTCTAAATGAGTGAAACATATAAATTAATAAATTTGGTAAGGGAGAATGACTGGGGTGGGCCTTCAAGCAAAAAGAACAGCATACTTCAAGGTCTGGCAATAAGTGCAATTGTAGGGAACATGAGTTTCATGATGGGGACTAGTGGGAAATCAATGTGGAGATGTGGTATGAGGCTAAACTGTAGAGTGTCATGAAGGAATGTGACCATTATCCAATAGGTAATATGGAATTTTAAATGGGATGGTGATACAGACAAAGCAGTGCCTTCATAAGATATAGCTGATAATATGGGGGGATGTGAAGGCTGAAAGGGACTGAGGTTAGTTAGATGGGACAAATGTGATAGAACTATAAGAAGGACTTGCAGTTACTTGTTGAATAACTAGATGTGAGGTAAGAGAATGATTAAAGTATATAATTTATTCAGGAAGATTAAAGAGTCAGAAAACTGAAAATTATCTACAAAGGATAAACATGGGATAGAAAAAAAGCTGAATATATAGTATATTTGAGAAAACACAGTTGGTAATTAATCCCAAGCAAATGGAGTTACTTGGGTTATTTCCTGTAGAAGTAGCATTTTGGGATGCATGAGAATGGATGTTCCTGATGGGAGGGAACTAAATAAATCTCAATTTCCTTTGACTCTCTGTGCTAAGATTGATGGTTCAAAAGACAAAATCTTTATATTTTCAAAGGACTTAAACTATCCAGGGAAACATAGATTATCTATAGATCTGTAGTTTCTTTTCATTAAATATTCAAGAATATGAAGTCAACTTTATTTTTAGAAGTCAACTTTTATAAAAATTGGGTCATGGTTTTAGCTCATGGAGAAATAACGTATATAGGTGTCATCGTGATGGTCATCAGTTTTTGAGCATCAGTAATATGGTACCTTCCAGACCCTTGAGGTATAATGATCTATAAAATATTGTATATAGCTGAATCATCCAACAAAATAAGATTCAGAAATATTGTGACTTGATAAATTGTAGTCCCTAAATTTGCTGATAATAGATTATAGTCATTTGATTTTTATTGCTGTGTCATTACATATTAACCAGGTCAAAGGGGTTGGTACTTAGTCTTCATTTGAAGATTTTTAAAGGTAATGAGAGGAAGTGAATTAACTACAGAAGGCTATTAATAATAATATTTTAAAAAATAGTGCTCAGGAGTGCTATCAGCAAGACAGTGGACTAGGATACTCCAGGCCCTTGTTCCCCCATGGAAACACAAAGTAAATAACACACTGACCACAGTATCTTTGTGGGAACCCTAGAACCCAGTTAAGGATTTGCAGCAATCAAGCAAATGTCTAAACAAGATGAGGTCACAGTCAATATGGAGAGAAATTTTGGGAGTTATTGATCACCCATGCCCTGCCTCTTCCCTGGCACAGCATGATCAGGAGGAAGCTATCCAGTTCTTGGTTCTTCACATACAATGGAAGGGAAAGATTTCCTCACTTGGAGCTCTGGAAATGGTGGCATAGTTTGGATATGAGGTTGAACGCCACTGAAAGCAGTGTCAGTCACTACTGCATGTAAGAGGTTCAGGGAGGCTGCAGACCTGTGGGCTCCTGGAGGTGAGAGATTATGGGCAGAGGAATACAATAGAACATCTAAGATCTTGAAGGCAGCCATGTAGAGGGAGGGATTGGGATGGGGTGTGGGGAATGCACAAACACAGGCCCAGGGAACAGGTATGCTTAGAAAGGCTTGAGAAGACCATAAACCTTCATGCCAGGTTGATTAGTGAAGGTATTTTCCTTCACAGAGCCAGTCAGTAAAGGCTGGAAAAGGTCCTGTTTTTGTTTTTCAAATTACCACCTACATAATGTCTATGAGTGACTCACATTAGATCTAAGCAAACATATAGGTTGAAAGTGAAAAGATGGGGGAAAAAAATCCATATAAATAATAACCTAAAGACAGCAGGATGACTATTCTTTTTTTTTTTTTTTAAAGATTTTTTATTTATTTATTTGACAGAGAGAGACACAGCGAGAGAGGGAACACAAGCAGGGGGAGTGCGAGAGGGAGAAGCAGACTCCCCGCCGAGCAGGGAGCCTGATGCAGGGCTCGATCCCAGGACCCTGGGATCATGACCTGAGCCGAAGGCAGACGCTTAACGACTGAGCCACCCAGGCGCCCCAGCAGGATGACTATTCTAATATCAAACAAAATACACATTAATTCAAAGCTGTTACTAGATACAAATGACACTACGTGATAATTAAAAGGTCAATGCACCAGAGAGATATAATTACTAACATCTATGCACCACATCAAAGCTCCTAAATATATAAGGCAAGCATTGACTGGATTGAAGAAAAAGCTTTAGAATAATATGAAACCTCATTCAAGAATGGGTAGAACAGACAGACAGAAGATCAATAAGGAAATAGAAAACTTGAAGAACACTATAGACCACTTGGACCTAACAGACATTTGCAGAACACCCCACCCAACCACAGAATACATGTTTTTCTCAAGTACTCATGTAACATTCTCCAGGATAGACCATATGTTTGGCAAATAAATAAGTTTTAATCAATTTTAAAAGACTGAAATTATACAAAGTAGCTTTTCTGATTACAATGGAATGAAACTAGAATAGCAGAAATAATATTAAAAAATCCTCAAATATGTGGAAATTAAACATCAACCAATTTGTCAAAGAAAAAATATCACAAGGGAAATTCAAAATTATCTTTAGATAAAAAAATTAAACATACTAACATTTATGGAATGAATTAAAGACAGTGCTAAAGTATAAATTTATAGTTGTAAATAATTTCAGTAAAATAAGGAAGTCTTACATCAACAACCTAAATTTACATCTCAAAGATCTAGGGGAAAAAGAAAGCTAAACCTAAAGCTAATAGAAGAAAGGAAATAATAAAGATTAGATCAGATATAAGGAGAAAAATGAAAACCAAGAGTCAGTTCTTCAAAAAATCAAACTGACAAACTTTTAGCTAGGTTGACAAAAAAATAAAAAAATAATTGAATCATAAATGAGATAATTTCTACTGATTTTACAGAAATAAGAATTATAAGTACTATGAGCAAATGTTCACCAACAAAATGCATAACCTAGATGAAATAACTGAGTTCACAGAAACACACAACCTAAAAATACTGAATCATGAAGAAAAAGAAAATATGAACAGACCCAAAACTAGTAAGGAGATTGAATCAATAATCAAAACTCTGCCAACAAAGTAAAGCTCAGGGTCAGATGGATTCACTGGTGAATTCTAACAAACATTCAAAGATGTAAAACCAATCCTCTTCAAACTCTTACCAAAAAATTTAAAAGGAGGGAACACTTTCATACTCCTTCTATGAGGCCAGAATTGCCCTGATACCAAAGCCATACAAAGATACTACAAGAAAACTACAAACCAATATCACTGATGAACATTGATGCCAAAATCATCACCAAAACTCTAGGAAAGGGAATTCAACAGCACATTAAAAGGGTTACATAACATGACCAAGTGGAATTTATTCTAGGTA